CCCGCAGTGAGAAGCCCGTTCCCGATGCTGCCCCGCGGGGTCACTCACCTGCAAAGCACCGATGGCAGCGCTCTGGAAGCGCAGATCTGTTTTGAAGTCCTGAGCAATTTCACGCACCAGACGTTGGAAGGGAAGTTTGCGGATCAAGAGTTCGGTAGACTTTTGGTAACGCCTGATCTCACGCAGAGCCACGGTACCCGGCCTTCAGAAATCAAACCATGAAAAGCAGTTAGCGCCCAAGACACATTCCACATCTCCTTAAAAACACTGAACTAAACATCGCACATGCTCTTCGCACTGTAAGAGCCCCGGTGTTTACAACACAAAACCAGTTCCACTAGTAAAGGGTCACCATTCTCCCCACCATGCATCCGTAAGATGGATCCACACCAGCTCCACTGTGGATCCTGCCAGCAGGCCCGCAAGGTCCTGACTTCCCCAAGAGGGAAGCCAGCTGGCACCAATATGGCATCAACACGACTGAGTCTGGAGATGGTAAACCACAACCTGGCTGGGAGATCGCTGGTTCAGGTATAGCCCAGGTACCCCCACAACCCTACCAGCCACCTGCCTGACAACAAGCCTCAGTGAGGGGGCCACTGGTTTCTTCCTATTCCTGTCAACATTCACAGAACTGACATTCTGTGAATATATATGTATTTTTATATTCTATTTAAATATATATTCTATTTATAGATGTGTGAATATATATATATTCTATTTACATACAACAGAATCAACTAGGTTGGTAAAGACCTTTAAGATCATAGAGTCCAACCATTCCCCCAGCACTGTCAAGGCCACCACTAAACCATGTCACTGAGGGTCTCATCTACAGAGTTTGTGAACATTTCCAGGGATGGTGATACCACCACTGCCCTGGGCAGCCTGTTCCAATGCCTCACTGCCCTTTTGGAGAAGAAATTGTTCCCAATATCCAATGCAAACCTCCCCTGGTGCAGCTTGAGGCTGCCACCTCATCCTGTCTTGTCCTATATATACTATATATATATATATATATATACACACACACATAGAGAAATATACACGTGTATATAAATATATATATACAATTAATTTATATTCTGTATCATCTGTACAAGGTATTTAGCATGTTTCCTTCTGTTAGTTTTGGTGTCAGAACAACAACTTCAGATAACAACATACTTTTGCAGACACAAAGTCCATCCCCGAAATTAACATCATGTTTATTTCTGCAGAAAATTTGTATTTTCCTACTCTGGCATTATTACCTTTCTCCCAGTCGTTTAATTCTGCCTCACGCCTACAGCAACACCCTCTTAGATCAAGATTTCAAACCAGCTTCTCTTTCCCAATCTGTTTTATTCCACGGGGAATACGTACATCTATATAGCCCAGGGCCATCCTCCGGGCTGGAGCACGACTCTTACCGTTCTGCAGCAAGCACGGGCTGGAAAACTTCGTTATCGGAGGGCTGTCAGAAAGACCCGCTGCCCCCTCTACCCAGGTACACGGGACAACCGGGCCCCGAGCATCCATGGACTCATCGCGCCCTCTCGCGGCAGATACCCCCACCTTCAACTCCCTCCACCCCCCCCCACCAACCCCCCCCCCGGCTCCCGTGTCCAGCGGCGCCCAAAAGGCACCGGGGACGGATCAAACCCCTTCAAATAAATTCAGATAGGAAGGTAACAATAAACTTCGCGGCGCCACAGCCCTCCCGTAGCACTGAAATACCCACAAGTACAAATAAATGTATAAAATAATTAAAATTAAATAAAATCATTAAAATAATAAAAATAACAATAAAACACAACCGGGAGAGCCGCGTTCACCGGGGGGGGTGGGGGTGGTGGGGGGTGTTGATTTTTTTAGGCACCGATACCGAAACGCGCTGATGTTACAACACCGGCGCGAAGAAGGCGGGCGGGTGCGGTGGAAACCCCCCAACCTCTCCCGGTTCCCAGCCCCTCCCGGCACCGCGGGGAGAGATAATGGTTTTGGGGGGGGGGGGAACTCCCGATGGGTCCCTGCGCGGCCTCTGCGCGGCGCTCGTACCGGTAACGGTGCGGTTTCTTCACCCCGCCAGTGGAGGGCGCGCTCTTGCGGGCGGCTTTGGTGGCGAGCTGCTTGCGGGGCGCCTTGCCGCCGGTGGACTTGCGGGCGGTCTGCTTGGTACGGGCCATGCTCCTGCCGACGACGCTGCCTTACACCTGCACAACGATGGGGGGGAGGCACGGGGTAAGGGGCAAAGAGAGAGAAAGGGGTGCGGGGTGGGGGGGGGGGTGCGGGGTAACAGCGGTGGGGTCCCCCCTGCTCAGCGCACGCCCCGCCGGCACCTGCCCCCCGCGGGAGGGAGCGCAGCCCCGCGCCCCTGTCCGCGGAGCGAGCCGTTAGTCTTGGAGCCCGCGGCCGCACAACGGACCGAACGCCAACGGAAGAAATATTAAATCAAAATATACATATCCGTAAAAATTAAACATCCGCCCCTCGCAGAATATGAGAGAAAAAAAACGGGGGTTTTGCCCACTAATTCGCTAGCGAGGAGTCAGCGGCCGAAGCGGAGCCACCCGCCCGGCAGCAGGCGCGGAGCAGCGGCTGCCGCCTTCACCCCCCACAGGCCGCCCGTCACCTGCCAAGAGATCGGCAATACCGCCCGGCGAGCCCCGGGGGGCTGGCACCCACCCGCCGCTTCCAACCGGGCCCACAACCGCCGCCGGAGAGGCCCCCACCGGCCCGCCGGGGAGCCCGGGTCTCCCGGCAGCGCTGCCCGGGCCGGCGGCAGCCGCGGGGAAACCGGCGTTACCGGTCGGAAAAGGTCCGGAAAAGTGCAATAAAGCAACAAACTTTCTTTTAAATATATATATGTAATTTGGGGGGAGGTGGTGTTTTTCGGGCGCCGTCCGCCTCTCTCTGTGTAACTGCTTCCCCAAAGCTGCCTCGCTCCCAAGCGCCTCTCACAGGCAAACTCATCTCCCAGCCCCAGAACAAAATGGAAACAATCACGAAATGCAGCCCTAGTCCTTTTGCAAAGGAAGGGAAAAATAAATTGCGAAAAATAACGCCCCAAAAAATCGCTGGAACTCCGAACCGGGTGGGTGCAGATGAAGGGGGAGGCAACGGAAAAGTTTGCACTCAAAAACCGAAAAATTGCGTTAGGTTTGGGTCGTTTCTTCAGCGAATTTCTTTCCCTTTTTATTGTTTTTTATGCAATAGGAAAAAAAATATGGTCGGTGACCAGAGAAAAGAGACAAGATGGTGAAGCCGAGCAACAACTGTGGGGAGCAGGGGAAGGCAAGCAGGAGAGTTACCGGGGCTGGCGAGCGGCTCCGCTCCGCGCCCGCTCCCGGGCCCGGATCCGGGGGATGCGGGGCCGAGGGGACAGTTAAGGGGTCCGGGAGTCTGCCAGGGGGGGTTTGGAGCCGGGGCGAGGGGGGCACAGGGGGGCAACGGCGACGTGAAGCGGGGCCGGGGGGTGCCGGCGGCGGGAGCCGCTCCGGGAAAGCGGCGCAGGGGAAAGGGACGGGAGCTGCCGCCGCGTCCCCAGCACCCCAAAAGTTTTGCGGGGAGGCCCTGAGGAGGGCGGCGGGGTGCCCCCGGGGGGCGGCGGGGCGCGGGGGGCGGCGGGCGCGGCGCCAGACTTACCCCGTCCGCTGGGCGAGCGCGGCTGCCGTGCGGGAGGGAGAGCGAGAGGAGAGACGGGAGGAGGGCGGTGGGCGGGCGGCGGGCGGGCGCTAGGAGGAGCCGGCGCTGCTGCTGCTGCTGCTGGCGCTGTCGGCGGCTCGGAGCACAATTGAAAGATGGCTGACTCGGGAGGGGCGGTGCCACCGCGGGCCACGCCTCCCCCGGCCACCCGCCAGCCAATGGGGCACAATGGAGGGAAGGCGCGGCCCCGCCCCGCGCGCGGCCACGCCTCCTCCCGCGGCGCCGTGTGTACAAACACAAAAGACACGCCGCGGCAACAGAGAGGGGGATTCCCTCCTGACACGGGCCGGGGGCGCGCAGGCCTTGCTCCCACCGCCACCACCACCACCAAAGGATGAGGCATGTCTCCGTGCCCTGGAATGCGTCAGTCCTGCGGCCTTTGGGTGGGATCTGGTGGGATTTGAGGGTTTGGGTTTGTTTTCTCTTTACACAGAAGCAATGCTGACATTCTCGCCGTAAGGGTGTGCTGGGAAGTGCCACACTCCTTGTTACACAAAATAAGAGCTGAATGTTGCAAGGGGATTATTTCGGCTTGGAAATAAACTGCTGACACAATGGTTCACAACGAAAATCCAATTTTGGGAGGGCAGAGAAGTCTCATTCCTTGTATCAGTGCTTTCAAACTCTCAACTTTTAAATGCAGCTCTTGGAAATGCAATGTGAGTTTAGCACTGTCATCACCAATGGATCCCCATGCAGTAGTATCAGTTGCCATGCTGCTTAATAAGCAACTTCATCCCTCATTTGCTGTTAACATCAGGAACAAGATGCCCTGTGGGAAAGGTAATGGCTGGAGGTGCTCCAGTGACTGTTCAGTCTGCTATGGAGACAGGCTGAGAGAGCTGGGCTTGTTTGGCCTGCAGAAGAGAAGGCTCCAATGAGAGGTTAGAGCAGCTCCCAGTGCCTAAAGGGGCTGGTAAGAAAAGTGGAGAGGGACTTCTTACAAGTGATAGGACAAGGGGGAATGGCTTTGAAATGAAAGAGGGCTGATTTACATTATTATTGGAAAGGAATTCCAATTCCTGTGAGGGTGGTGAGGCCCTGGCATAGGTTGCCCAGAGAAGCTGTGGCTCCCCCATCCCTGGTAGTGTCCAAGGCCAGTTGGATAGGGCTTGGAGCAACCTGGTCTACTGGAAGGTGTTGTTTGGAACATGGGTTGGAACTAGAGGAGCTTTAAGGTTTTCCTTTCCACCCAAACTTTTCTATGATTCTATTATTTCCTTAACTGCATTTCAACTACAGAGCCAAATTCTGTACTCAGGGAAACTGGTGCCACCATCTTGTCTGTCATTTGGGTATAAGGAGGAGCCACATTTGATTTGCCAAGTATTTATTAGGGATGATGATGTAACACAGTTCTGTGCAGATACATCCAAGCTGCCTCCAGCAGCAGACACAGTTCAGCCATGTGAGCAGAGCAGTTTGCTTGGGGCTAACCAAACCTGTTGAGGAAAAGGGCGTTGTTGCTGTGGGCTGGACACCCTGCTGAAATCTATGTCAGCTCCTGCGGTGCTCAGAGGGATACAACAGGCTGCACTATGCAGACACACACCTCTGACCTGGCAGTGCGTTTATGAGAGAGGGCTGTCGGGAAACAGAAACTACAAAGGATTTTTGCTCTGCTTACAGACGAATTAGTGGAGTAGTTGTACCTAGCAACAGCATTTTACAAGAGAATGGTACCTCACTGGACAGTGGGAGAGCTCATACAACCAAGTACGAGAACTCCAAAATGCAGGCGCTGAGGCTGGCACCGGTTCCCACCGTAACAGGCTCATCCCACCTTGACCAGCTGGACAAGTCGATAGCCGGCAGCGCTACTTCATGGCTGCCAGCAGCCGCCCGGACGTTAACAACTCACGGCCTGCCCCTCTTCTAGCTTCAAGGCCGGCCACGCTCGGGAGCGCTCCGCAGCCGGTTTCCCGGAGGGGGGGGGGGGGCGCCTGTGAGGTGACCGCCGGGAAGCTCCGCTCCGCGCCCATCACCACCGCGGGGCTGCGGCGGGCGGCGGCGGCGGCACAAGAACGCGGGCGGCTCGGAGGCGCGGCGCCACCATTGGCGGAAGTGCGCTGGAATCCCGTGACGTGGCGGCGGGGCGGAGCGGAGCGCAGCGCGGGGCTGTCCCGAGGTGCCCGCGCGGGGCCGTTCTCCCGCAGCCAAGGAAGCGAGGGCTGAGCGAGGCTCTCCGCTTCCTCGGGACTCCTGCGCGGCCGCCTGCCCCGCCGCTAGCGGTTCTGGCACCCTTCGGCCGCTGAGGGGGCAGCGCAGGCAGGGCCAGGGCGTGCTGCCTGCCAAACGCCGGGCCCGAAACGACCCCCTGAAGAAAAACTGTTCCAGCGTTATCAACTTTCGCACCCTCGTTTCATCCTCGCTGATTAACGCCATTATAAACACGCTTTTCCAGGGCTACAGGGAGAGGCCCGAGCCTGGGGCAGCCCTTTCAGCTGTAAGCAAGCGCTGTTTGCGTGCCCACGGGACGCTGTAGAAAGAGCTGGCCCCACACCAGCATGGCTCCAGACGTTCCTCTGTCACCGGCAGCGCTGATAAGCCTTTGCTCCCCCTCTCCGAAGGCCTTTATCTCTGCGGACCACAGGGATCTTCCACCCTTTAGCTGCTACGAAGCAATCTAGCCTAATGAGATTCCACTGGTTTAACTGACAATAACACAGCAAGGACAACCGCAGTGCTTCACCCTCACCCCACGTAACACCACTGCTGTGAACATGTCCAGATTGCTGCGGGAAAGAAGATTAGGATGGAAAACAGCTGGTCTGGGTTGGAGCCAAATAAGACTCAAATAAGACTGGATAGAAAAGAGGAACATCCACATCGGAGGTTGTCAGAGATGTTTTTAGCACCTTGCACAGAAAGTTCACAGCTCTCATGCAGCAAAGAGAGGCAGAGTTCCACAACTCATACTCACTGGGGCTGTCCAAGTAGCACACATTTTCTGAACTACTCTCTGTCACCTTTACCTTGTTGGGAAACTCTCATCTTGCCCAGGAGACTCTGGGCAGAGGAAGACAGGTCTTCCTCATATCAGGTTGGATTAGTTCAATTCACTGTTATCAAGCTGAAAATAAAAAGAATAAACTTCCCTTGGAGCTAAGGCTTCAAGATGAAGTCCTCCAAACAGCTCCTGGTCAGCTTAATGGGTGTGAGTCACTGGCCCTGTTGGTCAAAAAGCTAAGGGATCAGCCCCACAAATGTGGTTTAGCATGTGGTGTCCCTGCCCATGGCAGACGGTTGGAACTAGATGATCTTAAGGTCCTTTCCAACTCAAACCATTCTATTGATTCTAAGATTTTACCCAGCCTGTGACAGAATCAACAAGCAACTACAGCAGCTGCTCCCTATGCAGCAGCAGCACAGGTTACAAGCCCCAGAACAAAACATGGCAGAGCAGATGAAGTGGGCCTGTTCTGAGGTTATCCTACCAGAGAACAAGTGAGTCTGGAGTATGGCTGGTTCTAAGCAACACTGTGGATATCTTTCAGAAACAGAAAGTCTTTCCACCACAAGAGATAATGACTGTTTATCACCAAACTCCAAGTTGACTCTGACCAAAGAAGAAATGTTTCTTTCCAATCCTCCCACCCCAAGGCACAGACTAGAAGACCAAAAGACTCAGTCTAGTTCCAACTCAGAGAAAGGGCAGTTGGGGGCATTACTTATTTTTATGCAAAAAGCTACTCAGACATTTTGGTGCATAAGGAGTGTAAAAGACTAGCTTTATTTATCTACAACACTCCTTGACTCCTGCTTTCACATATCTCCTCCCAGACCAAATTCTCACTTCCTTGTTCTACTTCAGATCCATCTCTCTTCTCACACATCAAACCCCTGCCACCCTTTGCCCTCAAGCTCTACACCCTCACTCCAATTCCCTGTCCCAGCTCCCAGCCTATGGCCATTTTGTGATTTCATGTTCCCTGTTCACCCTCCTCAATTCAATACATTTGCTTAGCTGTTTCATCTTTCTCCCCTTTTTTTCTTGTTCCTATCCCTAGCTTGCATCCTCTTGATTTTCATGCCAAACCATTCCCACCTTCCCCTAGCTTGTCAGTCAGTCCCAGACCCATACCTGCTGTGTTTCCTTCTGCAGCTTCCAGGCTGGACAGCCTTTCCTAGCCAGTTCCAACTCCATCCTTGCAAGTCCAGCCCAGTGTTGCTTTATCCTCTCTCCAGTCCTGGCGAGCCTACCACCCAGTTTCTGGCTGTGGCTGCTATGCAGTTAAAACGTCTCCTGGAAATTAAAGTAAAATGTCAGTACAAAATGCTGGCAAGTTTGTCAACTCTCTTCCTTTTCAGATGTATTTTGAGAGAATGAAGACATTTGTAACCTTAACTTTGTATGACCAGTACATTTTGGTACAGATTTAAATGTATTCCTAAATAATCATCTACATACAAGGTGAAAATACAGTAGTTACAGTGTTTTTACTAGGAAGTTACTAGGGGTAGGAATCACTGGTGCTTAGAAAGTACAAGTCATTGAAAACCTCTAAGTGATTTTGTCTCTGTGTAAATAGTTTTAATCTTTGTTTTGAAGTTTTCTGTCATTGATTTGTATCCCAGAAATTACAGCATTGTAATAGCATCTGGTGTGATGCACAGTGGTTTGATACGCTGGACTGAACCATGACACCACACACTGCACACTTCTGTTGTTTGATTTTTACTGTCAATATATAGGCAAAATATACACCATCCCAAACTAGCAGCTGAATGGTGCACTTATCTTCAGAGACTGGCACCTAATGGAAATACTGATAAGAAGTTTAATAGTAGTGGACACAGCTTGTTCCTCTCTTTCATCTATTATCATTTGGTCTTTTCATCATGTATTTTGCCCTTTACAGTTCTCTAAAAGACTTCACACATACTAGACATCACAGCCCTGCTGCTTAAAGAAAACTCTTAAACTCCTGTTTACTTTTAGGCACCTCTCAAGCTCCGTGGACTTCAATAGGAGATAAATTCTCTTAAATGTACACACGTGCTAAAGTGTCTTCCCGAAGATTGGTCTCTAAGGAAAGTCCCCCTGGTTAAATAATAGGGAAAAAGTACTTGTGCCACGTGAAAAACATCTTGGAATTCCTGGGTTCTTTAGGAAGGCTTAAAAGAAGCAGCTATTTTAAAATGCACAATTACCAGTCCTTCAGAGGTCCTTCTGATCACACTTTGAGCATCACGTGTGCAGGGGATTTAGAACAATCTATTTTGGAGACAAACTGCATTTTTCTACTGTCTCACAACCCCAGTGCAGTAAATCTGTTTTGGTTTAAGTTTCTTCCAAAAGGAATTTCAAGGACAAAGTTCTAAGATAGTGAAAATAAGCCAACAATAGCTCAGAGGACTCCTGGATTTCACTTCACTGTTTGGATTACCACAAATTTTTAGGAAGCTTAAGGAGTTTGACCCAGCCTCTACCTTTGCGGTTCCTCTTCTGCAAAGACTTACAAGCACTTACTTTCACTGAGTGCATGCCTGCTTTTATAGAGACTCCTGTCTCTAATTCCTTATGTATCATCTGGGATTCTCTTAATATAATCTTGTTTGTACTGCCTATTATTAACATACATGCATGGCTGGAACTCATCTCTCATCCTTCTAATGAGGTCCTGCAGAATATGAAAGAGTAAATAACATTACATTAAACCAGCCCTAATTGTTTCTTCTCCATGGGCTAGTGAGTTTCTTCTGGTGGAAGGAGTGCTACACAGAAAATGTGTAAGAACACCTAGCATAACATCCCAAAGCTCCACTCCTATTCCTGTCTTGTTTGCTTAATTCATGTTATTCATGATAGCCTTTTAAATATGCTTAATATTTTAATATGATTTTTATATTAAAAAAAAAAGTCCATCACCTTTTAAAGACTGGAAGTTAAAAATATCTTTAACTGCCTGATACACAGCTAAGAACAGTTTCAGGTCCGTAAGACGCATCGTAGCTGTAACCAGTCTCTATTTTTCTTATCAGCTTTGAAGAGCTTGCATGCAACAGCTCATTTTCTTAAGGTGGAAACAGGACTTGAAATATTACACCAAAAACCAGTACTCCTGTTACACTGACACTAGAAAAATCCTGAGTAGAAACAGAGGTGGCTTTTTAAACAGCTTTATTCTGTGTGATACCGTGTTTCCATTTTGCTTATTATGGAATAATTATATTCTCATTTGTTTCAATGTACGGGGGTGATAAAGGAAAATGACAATGAAAACAGCACTACATGTTTACAGAGTCACAGACCTCTGCTTGTCAGAAGAGCTTCAGCTTCTTACTGACTTCTCTAAGCTTATGCCTTTTCTTCTTGCAGGTCTCAGGACAGTGTTACACTTTTTTTCTTACACAGACACTCTTAGTTTGGAGTGCACTGCAGGGTTAACTGAAACAGAACCCGAGTCCTAGCAGGAGATAGGGAATAGGGTACAACAGATAATTGTGAGGTTATTGTACAGCCTTGCCAAAGACTAGGAATTATATGAGACGACACGGAATAGCTGTGATTTTTAGATAAAATATGATCAAATGTCATAATGTATTTTGGAGATATGCTGTGAAATTTAATTATAACAGTATGTCTAAGGCATTGGGTGAAAGGACTGGTAGACAAGTAAAAAGAAAAGGGAGTTTATTCTCTGTAACAATAAGACAAGATTTTGAAATTTACCATACCTGCTTCAGTTAGTTTGCTTTGACAGACACATTTCAAGTGGGCTTTTGCAAGATTTTATGCAGTATGGGGAAGAACAATTGTTCTTGGGAGTATTTCTTCCTGAAGTTACAGTACGATAGAATTACTCAACTCAGTTTAGCTCTCCTGGTTCTTCACACATGACTAAGTTATCATAACAACCTTTTCTGTCTTTTTGAGGCATTGCATTGTACTGTGGAAGGAACTGGAGAGCCCGTGGGCTTCATCCTAATGGAGACTACTGTAAAATCTTTTATTTCCAGTACTTCTGTGTCAATACATTCATTAAAGCTGCCAAGGAGAAACAACCAGCACAAGCTCTAATTGGTTCCCAAATAAGATCCCTACTACTACAGTGATTTACAGGGAGCTTCTGTTGTAGACGAATTTCAGACCTTGATTTGCCCCAAGACTCAAACACACTACAAAATAACCCCCTGCAGGCTTGCATTAGGAAGGGGAAAAAAAAAAGGCTCCCTGTTTTCCACCACCCATTAGGTTCACATTGGCCTCATTTTGCAGTGTTGTTCTTGTAAAGGATGTCCTTTTATGCACTGAGGCAGTATCCAGCCCATGCTGACACTGCCTTGAAAGGCTTTATGAGCCACTATACTTGACAGAACTAAGAGTAATATTATTTATTTCATTTCTTTGCTCAGTGGGGTAATCTCATGAGATATGAATCTCTTCTTCATGAGGGCCCTGGGGGCTGCAATCAGAGTGAAACTCAGCTATACTTTAGTACAGTGCAAACAGCACAAACCACAGTACTCAGGCTTCAACAGGGAACAGCAGAACGAAATACCAAGTATGATGCCCAGCACTGTAATTTATTTGGAACAATCTTCTGTAGACTGGTTACTTTTAAAATTAGATCTGCTTCTTCCTTGTAAAAGCACAGGAGTAGGATTATCTTGAAATGGCATGGAGCCTCATTTGTGAACGCCAGCTAAGGAAGGGTCTCAGAAATGAAATTACTATTCTGAGGTCTGACCCTAACACAGCTGTGAAGTGTTCTGCCATATCCCATCTTTCTTAACAAGCACTCCCAAATCTCAAACCCCACTTTCGGGAGAACTAGTCTCCTGAGAGTAGAAAAGGGAAAGAGAAGATGAAGTGGCAGACAGTATATCTTAAAGTGACAGCAAAGAACATTAATTATTTTCAGTCTTCCGAGACTAGATTTTGGGGGTTTGTGGGGTTTTCTGTTTGTTTGGGGGTTTTTTGCTCGTTTATTAAATAAATGAAAGCTTCCTATTTCCCCCAACATCCTCGGTAAGTCACACACTCTGTGGACTCTACCACATTTTTAGAACATTTTTCTTCCTTTCTCCTCCTCCTCTTCTCAAATTCACATCTCATAAGGCATCTCAATATGAAAACTGCAGTTGCTATTAAGAACAGTGCTTAACAGTAGTGCTGCTCATTAGTTTCTTAGTGCTTAGAAACTTATGTAACACAATTCATGTTTAAGCTCTAAATACCTAATTTGCCCTGACTACAGGGCAAATTAGGTATCTACAGTCCCAGATGAGAATAAAAGGATTCACAGGTACTCACCACTTCTGAAAATCAGGCCTAGTGTGACCTTGACTGTGTCCCCAGATGTGGATACCCCAAATCAGAGGCTATTTTTTTTTTTAATTTGAAAATGCCCAAATACCTGCTTTCACACCATAAAGACAGTGCTAGAGCCACAGCTCAAAGTTCATGGCTCCTGAAAATGCTGTGACCACACATCTCTTGTGACAGAGAGCTGGAAGCAAGGGTGCAAAAGAATGATGTGGCAATAGGCAGTTCATTCTGATCAAACGCTGCCTGCCAAACCTTGCTGTCTTCATGAGCACTGCAAAGCTGCTTTCATGGGGCCCAGATAAAGGAGTCCAGTGATTGGAGGTGTCCATGCCCATAGCAGAGGGGTTGGAACTAGATGATATTAAGGTCCTCTCCAACCCAAAGCATTCTATGATTCATGGTGTACGAAAAGAAGTAAAAGCTCCAAATCTCTGCAGACGCATTGTAACATCAAAATCTCGTCTTTGGATTTGAATGCTGAAGAAAGTGTCAGGCAGTTGTGCTTGCAGAGACAAGCTTGATCCCCTAACAGCTCAATACCCATGAAAACAAACAAGCAGCAGAAGGTAAGTGAGAATGCACAAATTTAGCATGTGCTAACATTGCATGATTCTGGCAAATCTTATGTTGTGTGGGGACTCCCTATGACTTTTGCATGCTGAGTCCTGGCACTCCTACTTGAAGTGTATAAGTGGTGTTAAAATACAAGCCACAATCCAGGCAATGGAAGTGGAGAACATCAGCTGAGTTTAACACAGACTGCAGAGCACGCATCTGAAGACAGAGAAGCAGCACCACTTGAAACCCCAGCAACAAAGAGCTACAGGAAGGTTTCCAGCCTGTTTCCCCTGGGCTACAAAGATTTCAAGCAGAGCTCCCACGCTGGCACTCTGTCCCACATCCAGTGGAGGAGCTGTGCTTATATAGGATAAATCCCTACTGTGAGAGGGAGTAATTTATCAGGTGCTACTGAAGTTGACATTACACACTTCATTACATCTTGGAAGTTACACCCTTCGGCCTAGCCCTGACCCACAATGGACAGCTAACATTCCTAGGTGCCACTGTCATTTCCCACCTGCGAAAAAGCACACAGCACCCTTCTCCCTTGGGTCACTGAAGAAGGAGCTGGCTGTCTGGATTTTGGTATGTGACTCAGAGGGCCTGGCAGGTTGGCCATGCCACATCTACAGTATTTAATATTCTTGGTTATGAGAGCCACAAAATCACTTGTGGAGCCTTTGCAGGTAAAGGGCTGCCTGCACAAACCATGCAGTGAACACACTCCAGTGTCATGCCCCGTTCTACAGATGTAGGACAGTTCCAGTGGCATGCAGGCTTATCCAGACAAACTGTTCCTGTAACTTCCGCTATAAAAGAACAAGGAGGAAAAAAACCAACCAACATCTACAAGATTTTCCAACTGTGACTTTCACACACTGGCAAGACTTCTTCATAGCCCTGCTTTGAGAAACAAGCAATGACATATTCTGACACCGACATCACTTCTAGGCCACAGTCCAAGTCAGACAGGCACACAAAGGAACAAATGCACAGCTGTATCATTGTCATGTTGCTAATATTCAAATATAACCATGTGAGGACATGATTTTTCCAGGCCTCTCATACATACGACTTAAGAAAGATCCTCTAGGGACATAGCAGGCTGTATTACAGATTCCTCACAGATGACACATAGTTACCTCTATTTTGGAAAGGACTAGAAGAAACACTGGAGAGGAGTCCAAAATACACCAGTGACATTCCTTAAACACCATATGAACAATTTAATTTCAATTACATGGTTGTGAAAAGATGTTGTCTAAACAAAATAGTAAATCATTCTAGTATCAAGCCAACAAGAGGCCACACGTCTGCAGTGTTATAATGTCAGTATTCTCCAACTTAAACTTACTGTATAGAACAAAACAAACCCCAAGCATTTTCCCTAAAAAATATTTGTATTATTTCTCTTAAAAGGAAACAAATCAAAACCTGCATCCATTATTATTCATCTGTAATTCCTCTTTAAGCTAGCAGAACATTCCCTACACAAGGAGATAAATATTACTATTACAAGAATGTTGTCTGAACATAAGTGGGGCTATAATGAGCCAGTCAAAAGGAAGCTACGTCAAACTCAGCACCCAAAGAATGAGGCCTCTCTACACTACAGGCTGGATCCTTAAGGCATTTCTCCTTCAAACCAATGAAGCTTTGAAAATTCACACTAGCTGAGCATCTGACTCATATTTTATCAAGGGTTGAATGATCAGTGACATGATCTGCTTTAGAAAGGATTTATGAACACCAGCAACTCACCACAGACTGCTAACCACGTGTTACCTCACTGAGTATAACCCAAACTGAAGGTTTACCTGCTTGAGGTACTCTGCTTTACATTTCTGTCTTTTTAGACCTGCACTGCCTGCTCTCCCTTTTGTCCTCCCTTTCTCCTTCAGTTTCTTTGTAGAATCTCCCCAGGTAAACCGAAAGCAAGCAGATGTGGGTGGGGTAATGTAATTTGGGAGCTCCTCCCAACTACTGGAAATGCAGCTTCAGTTTCATCAAGGAACATTTCCAAATCAACTTTAATCTCAGTTGAAAAACAAATAAGGATACCTGACTCTTTTCTCCTTCAGCTCATCTGAAGAAGAGTATAACTTGCTTTGGTCTAGGAACTTCAAATTACTGCAAACAGCATCACAATGGAATGAAAAGCTCACATTGCAAGTATATGCAATATTCACTCTCTCCTGTTTTCTTAAAAACTTCAAGGCAAAGGGGTCTGACAGATAATAGAGGTCTCCCATGTACATAATGTACATCTGGTACCACATATGCACTCTTAGCCTCGGATTTTTTGCGAAGTTGCCAAACATTCAGATGACAATTAGGAAACTGGGATCCAGTCCTTACACAGAGATTAAGTAATTTAGCACAGTGTCTCTGAAAGCTGTAATTAAGAGCAGTTAGTTTCATTACAGGGAGAGCAAAAGTAAAGAGGCAAAGACCTATTTTTGGTATTGTTTTCCTATAAAATATATTGTACACTACAAGCCACCCATTCACTGCTCTCCAGATGGATTCAGTTACAATTAATCAGAACAGACCAAATCTAAGCATTAAGGCTAGGAAATCAGAGGAAACACAAGGTTAAGGAAATCCTGGAATCTTAAGTAAAAGTTTCTACAATATTACCTGGGTGTCTAATCAGCCAATTCATTTCAAATTATTGCTGCCAAATTTAAACTTCTTTTTAGCAAGACAAACAAGTCTGACTGTGCTGCTTAATGACCAAACAAAAAGCATCCTTGGTTTCTCAGGTTCATTACATATATACTGCCGAGTTCCTTCTTGAAAGGACTCACAGTTTAAATATCCTTGCATAGGATGGAGACAAAGATTGAGCACAACGAAGAGACTAATGTGAGGGCAAAACCAGTTTTACAGCTGTCTTTAAACCTTGATTACGTCTAAGTATCTGCACTGTTACCAACTGTGGGCTGTAAGAAGAGTTAAATACAGTTATTCACCACAGACTTGTTAGGAGATTGAGATCTGGGCATTCACTTAGAGACAATAAGTATATTTAACAGTAGCTATTGTATTAATACAAGGGTAATAGAAGTAACACATTTGTATCTCTCCCCCCCCTTGCTCCCAACCCAGTATCGGGTATCTTAATACACTCTGTACCCATTGTGCTGATGACACAGAAACTGAAGCAGATGCCTATTGACATTTGGCAGGAAGCTGCACTTGCAAATATGAACTTAAGATTCATTACGGTTAATTACATTTTTGTCACACAGTATGAGGTCATGGTATCTGAAGCAAAAAAATGTTTGTTCCCTCATGTCATATAGCCTCTTCACTACTGTCCTAAGAACATGCATACAAAGGTTTCTTTTCATCCTGTCCTGATCACCCATGCAAATATAATATGAAAGCATGTAACCTACTGAAGTCTTGCAGATATGTTATCTGGAACTTGTGCTTTGGGATACCATTAAAATGTATATGAAAATAGATCCAGATGAGCCAGTCTCCATGTGTAGGATAGTACATGACCAATCGACTGGCAGATGGGAAATGTTTTCAAATTCTTGAAGTAACCTCAGTGGACAAAATTTACCTTGGTTAGTGTGTGTACACTTAAGACTATGCTAAAAGGAACAGACATCTGTTTCACATTTTAAGTGGTATCTTTCATCCTTTCTCTCGCCTGTGTCTAGGAACATTTTCAGAAGTCATAATCACTGAATTCTTACCAGAGCAACTTTTGATCCATCTTTTGTTATTCTGGGTACCTTGGGAACAACTGGTTTTGTGTTCTTCACTCCCACAGGCATCTTTCATGTGCAGATTAGAAGTCAAGGGCCAGTAAGTAACTCACAGATCCCTCAGTAGAGTCTTGCATAATGTGATCTTGGTCTTGACCACAGTTATTAAGCACTACAAAGCACTGACACTACTACTATTAAAACAGAATATACTGGAGGAAACAATAAGGGTGAATGAATGAATAGCAGCGTTATGACATTTACACATCTGGTGGTCCTAGATAAAGATATTGAAAAAAATGTGTTCTGTGTAGATTTTAAGCAGGAAATAGTCTCATCTACCACACTGCATACTATAAGCACACCAAATAACTCAGGCATCACAAGCACAGGTATCAGAATGAAATACGAAAAAGATGGGTAGTCTCATCTCTTATATTATGTCAAGATAGCAGGGAATTCTAAATTCTAATCTTGGTCCTTCCGTTGACTTAAGAAAGTAGTATAACCAGTTTGCCTGAGTGTCACTATTTAAAACGTCAAAGTACTTACTTATCCCAGAAGGATACTGTCAGGTTTAATTAATTATGTCTGTAAACTTTTCTAAATGAAAAAGTGGCAAGCATGATTTATTAACTAAGTCTAAAACACCACTACAAAATTAGAGGTTGAGAATTGTTTTATCAAGAGAATAACATTCCTAGTAAAATACAGATGGGAAATCATAACAAGCGCCTTTTTGACTTATTTCATTTTTTCTGAGGAGCAAGGCAATACACTTTTGATGGGTTCTAGGAATAGAAGTGTAATCAAGAACAAGAGATACACAAACACTTGCCCACTGACATTAACATGGCACCAGCTAAATGGCATTGAATAAATCATGAGAATGGAGACTATATGCTCAGCACTGCTGTAGGAACAAGCTGGAAGAAAACTACTCCACTGCCTATTAGATGTCACTTGCTTGTAGCTTGACTACGCATAAGGATCTGCACAGGTCACCTAGACAGAGCCACCCAGAAACAGAGGGAGTATGGCATTAGTAGCCCAAAAGTACCTGTGAAGTGGCAATGCATGATCTACAAAAGGCCTGATTTATGTCAGTAGGTCTCCACTGCTGTCAGCTCTCATGCTCGCAGGTGTATCACAGCTCTAGCATGTACCTGCAGGCAGAATCCAGGTGTCAAGAGTTATGAATGACAGGCAGCTGTCATTGACACACATCTCCCAGGGTGCACTAGGCTCTCTATTTTGGTCCTCTTTCCCTACAATGAATCTGTGTTAGCTATGGTACTCCTCATTGGGAATTTCTAATTCAGCTGGTGCTCATTAGAGCTAGGAATTCATCACCACAGATAAAACAGTTCAAAACCTTCAGAAAGGATGTGGATCAAATGACCGGTGAATTACACCCATTCAGCACATCCACTGGACAGTCCTGTGGCCCAACTCCTTCCTGAACAACTCCACCTATTTGGCCAGTACTTACAAGTTCCACACCCTCACAGCCAATAGCAGGAGCCTCAGAGGAGGAAATGAATCATACCCTTGGAATGCAACTGAAATCCCACAGATGTAAGAAAATACTTATTCATCTGCATACATACATGTGCATACCTCATATATTGCCAGTTACATTTCAATCAGATACTGCATATAAATAAAAATACCCTGGATCTAGTGGAATTTAACATTAGGTGGCATTCCACATGTGATCGATAAATGAAACGAGCAGCACCATGTGATTTAAAAGACAACACTGACTGAATTTGGGCCCGATGCAGCACAGAATAACCACAGCCTTTCCAGGCTATACAGGCATCAGGTTTGAATGGTCACACTGTGGCAACATGACACATAATTCAGAAATACTAAGTTGTTATAGAAACTAAAGACAGTAAGGGGTTGTCCAGAGTGGGTCAAAGTGCTTTATGAAAATATTTTAGCTAAAATGAACGTAGTGCAAGAAAGGGTGAACCAAGTTTGATTTGTGAATTGGCCAAAACAAACCCTTGGGGAAATCCCCTTAATTAAATTGTTACTAATTTGTTTATGTTTGCAAGTGAGGTCCCCACTTCCGAGTCAAATCACTTCTCCACCCCCTTGTTTCCCATCATCCTCTTTTTTTTACCACATAGACTTAAGATGAGCAGGCACTAAAGCTACCTATCCATGCTCACACAGGCCTTGCCAAGCAGCCCGGCTCTTCTGCAAGCAAAAAGGGTGGGGCTTTCTGAACAGCCAAGCAGCTCACACTCAATCCCCATTCTTTTAAAGCAGCGCCGATTTTTAAGACCGGAGTTTAGCTGCAGGCTTTGACACAAGTGCTTATCTCACTTGCCAACAGGGGATTTTCAGGGTGCCAGGTGCCCTCCTGGCCAGGGGACTCCCTCTTGGGTAAGGACAGAGCTGAAGTGGGCAGATTATGTCGGAAGCGGTAATCCTTGGCCAAGCTGCTGCTAAAGAAAAAGGCACTGAAGGTAATGTCATTATTTGGAAGTAAGGTGAGAGGTGCATCGTGCTGCAGAATCACAGAATAGTTTGGGTTGGAAGGGACCTTCAAAGGTCATCCAGTCCAACCCCGTGCAATGAGCAGGGACATCTTCAACTAGATCAGGTTGCAGATCGCAGGGCAGCCCACCTAGGTCTTCACTAGTGCTTGCAACAGTCTCCGCAAGAGCGACCTACCTTCAAATATCCTCTGGCAGGATGGTTATGTTGAAGACATGGAGGAGGATTTGAAGCCTCCATAAGAACACAATAATGACACTACCTGGATTGCCATCTCACACCTCAGTGTGTGTCCTTTCCTGGAGAGGTAGAGGCATGCATTTTCTTCTAACCAAATCTCCAGGTTCCTGCTTACTGGTAGTTCCCCGCATGTTGTGAAGAGCTGAGTGTTGCCTCCTGCTCCAACACAACTTTCACCCTCATTTACAAACATCTGTGACTGTGTAACCAAATCTGCCCCAAATATCAGCATCTGGGGCCTCTCCCCACCCATATGCTAAAACGCACATAGGAATATGCAGGACAAAGAAACCAGAGTCCATCATCCAGCAAGTCCTTACATGAAATTTGTACCATATGTGACGGGACAATTAAGAGCTGCACATTTCCATCACATTTCTTATACCTGCAGTGCTTTGCAATAGCAGCACTGCCCCTTCCCAGCTGCATGAGCATTTCCATTGAGCCACGGTCCATTTTGCTCACTGTAACATCTTTGCAGAGTGAACATTACAGGCTGTAAAAACCGTGGTAGGCTGCACATGGCTGTCCAAATGAGAACGATGAGGCTCTCTCATGGAGAAAAGGAAACTGCTTCCTGGGATGGCTTCTTGTATCATGCTGGGTGACAGGGACATTTCTCTGAGCATCACACTGTGGACAAACAGTGCTCAGGGCCATTTCCTAAAACAAGATACCAGGACACCATGTGTAAGACTATGGTATGATCAGAGTTATCCTGTGGGATCCTAGGCAAAAGTTGCTCCAGCATTTCAATTCCCAAAGAATGCCTGATAAATATACCTGGATTCTCATTTAACTTGTATGTGTCTAAAAAATGATAAACCAAAACTCTAAAAGGACTGAAACATCAGACTGATTCCGAAGTTTAAAATGTAAAAAAGTAAAAAAAAAATACAAAATGCAGGTGTAAAAATGATAAATTGGGTCCCTAAAATGACTGAAACATCAGACTGACCTAGAAATACAGCCTGCCTTACATGCAGCGTGAGCCTCCAGCACTTAAAAAAACCACCACCAAAACCCAACGAAAACACACCAAAATCTTTACAACTCTCAATTCAGCTCCGGAGCATTAAACAGCCCGGTTAAACCACCGAGAAAAGCGGCCGGTACCTCACTCCCACCACACGGCCTCGGGAGGCCGAGACCAGGCCCGAGCCTTTCCCTCAGCGTTCCCGCCCCGCCTACCGTCACGGGCCGGCGTCACTGCGCGCAGGCGCGGCGGCGGCAATGCCAGCGGTAATGGCGGCGCTGGTGCGGGATCCGTTGGCTGCGCGGGCGCGGCTGTGGCCGCTGCCCCCACCCGGCGGAGACGGCTCCGTGCGCGGCCTCCTCCGCCACCGCGCTCGGGAGCTGGTGAGTGAGCGAGCGACGTTACCTCAGGCCTCGGTGGTGGTGGTGGTGGGGAATGGGGTGGTGGTGGTGGTGGTGGTGGTGGGAGGCCCCGGTCACCGGCTGCTCGCCACCGGGCGCTGTGAGGTTTGGCTGGCGGCTGTGGCTGTTCGCAGCGCAGTGGGCGCGCCGGTTCTGGTGGCTGTCGCTGAGCAGAGCGGGAGGGTTTGCTGTAACAGCGCTGTGGTCGCTTATGTGGGTAGTGTATGTGTATAAAAGACGTCAATCTTAAGTTCTTTGCAGTTCAAAAAACGCGGGGTTGGTTTGTTTCAAATGCGGAGTGTTTGAACACTTAGTGTACGTTTTCCCAAAGCACAGCTTTTAGAATCGTAGATCAGCAAGGCTGGAAAAGACCTTTAAGCTCATCCAACCGTTCCCCAGCACTGCCAAGGCCACCACTAACCCGCGGCACGGAGGGCCTCGTCTGCACGGTGTGTGAGCACTTCCAAGGACGGTGACTCCAGCACTGCCCCGGGCAGCCTGTTGCAATGCCTGAGCATCCTCTGGGAAGGAATTGTGCTTCATATCTGTCTAAACCTCCTCTGGCACAGCTTGAGGCCGTTTGCTCTTGTCCCGTCACTTATTACTTGGGAGCAGAGACCAGCCCCCTCCTGGCTCCATCCTCCTGTCAGGCAGTTGTAGAGAGCGATAAGGGTCCCCCTAAGCCTTCTCTTCTCCAGACTAAACCCCCCCAGGTCCCTCAGCCTTTCCTTGTGAGACTGGTGCTCCAGGTCTTTCACCAGCTCCCTTGCCTTTCTCTGAACCTGCTCCAGCACCTCAATGTCTGTCTTGTAGTGAGGGGTTGCTCGTTCATGTTTACAATCAGCTGATTCAGGCTGTGCTTCATTCCTTTTTTCTGAAGAATTAGAACAAGCATCATAGAGGATATTCATGCTTTTAAGATCATCTGATTTTTTCCTTCCCCTCGGTTCCTGTAGGAAGGAAACAAACACTACTCCTTACTGAATTTCTTCGTAAGAATGTTTGATTTCAGCCATAATGTGACTCAATTTTGTTGTTTTTTAGAACATTCCTGAAGAAAGCTTGTATGTGAAATGTAATGGACGACTGGCGAGTGATGAGGATGTGTTGCAAAATGGAGCCGTTTATAGTCTGGAGCCAAGGCTTTGTGGTGGCAAAGGAGGTTCGTTGCTTAACTGCTTGTTATCTATTAGATTCTAAGGCTGGAAAACTTCTCATAGTCTATGCTGATAGCAGCAGTCCTGATATATTAGATCTCTTGTAATGTGGATGAATGTGATAATGTCTCTGAGCTGAAACCAAAGTCTGCATGCAAAGCTGAGAATTGAGTAGCTGGCATAGCTCTTCTGTGCATCCCTGGTCAGCTTAGCTCTACTAATAGACATCTGTAAAGTGCCTTAGAGTGACTTCAGAGTTGAAATTGTGTTTAAAAGTACCTGGCTTCTTAGGCTGCTAAGTTTCATTCGTGGTCATGTAGGACAGATATTCCAGGTGTGAGTAGTCTGTGATCTGAGTATGTTAGATGACCTAATTGTCTTCTCTTATTTGGAAAAAAAAGGCCCATATAAATTCCAAGCTCTCTGTAGCCTAAGAACTAAAGAATTCAATCTAAGCTAGACTCCTTATATTGATAAAATATTTAAACTGTGTTACTGAGGATGTACATCAATCATACAAGCAGTACAGCCGCTGGCAATGTGGGCATTCCCCACAATGGAATATGATGGGTGAAGCAAGTTTAGCAAAGTATTTGAGTGCAATTGGAGTCATGTTTGTTTTCTGAATCCAGTTTTGGAATTTTCCAGCTGTTGCAGCTGTGCTGAATACCTGTGCAGCCTTGCATCAGACTGCAGCTCAGTTTACTTTGCTGCCTTCAGTTTTGGATAGAACTGGAAATAAAATATTGTTGCTATAGCTTAGGAGGTGGTGTGGTTTCTTTAAGTGCCCTAAAAGTGGTGCATAAGGTAGAAGTTCATAATACAGAATGCTTCTTCCTCACCTGTTGTCCCTCAGCTTCAGTTATCCTGGGATAACAGACGACAGAATGCAATATAGGATGTGCATTCTGTGATTCACTCGGTGTTACTGATGTGCCACTGGGGTCAGTTTGAAATTGCTAACAATTTTGTTTGCTTTCTAAAGGGTTCCTTTTGTTTTGACTTTGTAACTTAAAAGCCTGATAAAACCAGGCAAACAAAACCAGGTCAAAACTACTGGGACTTGTTGTATGATCTCAGCAGAGTACAGATTATGCAGGCTTAGAAGTGAAGTGAGTATTTTATTATCACCTGTGACCTTAGCTGAGTTTTGGGAACACAGCTGGCTAGGTGTAGCAGCTAGGTCCACATTCTTCAGAATGTAAAATTCAATAGCATGTTTCCTGAGCTACAAAAATTCTCCTCGCTAATGACAGCCATTGGTTTTATTAGCTGAACACAAAGCTTTTTCTGCTTCCTGATACAGTAAACTGTTTGGATTGGTGACTGTAATACTCCTTAAAAGTACTTGTGGGGCGCTAAAAAGCACAGATTTCATCTTCTAGTTAAAAAACCGTGCTTGGCACTTCCAAATTGCTGGCTGGATTATATTAGTATTGATCCACAGTGTGTTTCTTTGAGGTAGTTAAACAAGTGTCTTTCTCCAGCTGGAGACAACATAAGGTGGGACCAAGTGAGAGAAATCAGCTCTCTTGCCTATAAGTAATTAGTGGCTGAGTAGTGTATATAAATCTGTTTTGGGAGGCTCTCCAGCATAATATTGTACGTCATGACCACCTTGATGAAGTGGTTAAAGCTATCTTGTAAAAAAGTTGTTTTTTTAGGTTTTTGAAAGGTGGTTTAAGTTTGGTGGAGTCTGAAGGGGCTTAAGGGGGAGGTCTATCCTGGCAAAATGTTATCTTGAGACAAAAAAGGTTTCAAAACATTTTGCTGGGGGTGTGTGTGTGTGTGTGTGTCCAGAAATAGGCTTTCGTGTTAGAAGTGCTGCACAGGTTCTAGTAAATCTGGGGTCCGTCTTTTGCGATACCAGGAGTACAAAACTGAGATGAGTGGTAAATGCTGGGTACCTTTTCTTTCCACTTAGTCTTTCAGCATTTCACCCAATGACAGTTCTCTGACATGTTCCAGCTTTCAACCTACCCTTTATTTCAGTTGCATTGAGGGAGAGGAAGGTATTGAATTTACTGTATTCTTTATCCATAATTAACTCTTTTGTTGTGTAATAGCTCATCTCCATTTCTTTCTGCTTAGCTAATTCTTGATGTCTCTTTTCTCAGGGTTTGGGTCTATGCTGCGAGCACTTGGTGCCCAGATTGAGAAGACAACAAACAGAGAGGCTTGCAGAGATCTCAGTGGAAGGAGACTTCGAGATGTCAACCATGAGAAAGCGTAAGGGGCTCGAACTATAAAATACACTGGCCATGTAGCTCACTTAAAAAGAGCTTAAATGAGAGCCTTTTTTTGAAATGACATTTTATTTTGAATAACACAGAAGAGCAAAAGTGAGATCTTAAGCACAAATGGACTGGAAGCCAACAGGATTCTTTGACTATAAGTATATTAGTGCAGAGTAGGAGTGGTTCTACTGCAGCCTGCTTCTGAGAGGCTGATGTGCACCTCTGAGATTCTCATCTGGAATTCTCACAGTTCTCTCAGAAGCTGCAGACTGTGGTGTTGGGGATATGTGACCTTACTGATGTTTCTAGCTTCCAAAATAAACTTTACTCTCTTCTCTGTGGCAGAATCTGTATATATTTCTTCAGTAATTCCCCTGGGCACTGTTAGTTGTCCTTTCCCATTGTTTCCCATCCTAGCAGGTGGTAGAAGCATTCATTAATTGCCAAGCAACAAACTGATATTGCATTAAATGCTGGAAACACTCATTTTCATGGTTCTGTCATGTGCAGGATGGCTGAATGGGTGAAGCAGCAAGCAGAACGGGAAGCAGAGAAGGAGCAGAGGCGCTTGGAAAGGCTGCAGCGGAAACTTGCGGAGCCAAAGCACCTTTTCACCAACCCAGACTACCAGCAGCAGTGTCATGAAATGGCTGAGAGACTGGAAGATTCAGTCCTTAAAGGTATTATAGTTTAACCTCACTTCCTCTCCTCAAAAATTAAGGCAAAGTCCCTATGGCCTCACTCCAGTATGACAATGGAAAATAAACCCTGATTCTGACAGTAACTCTGTCAATTGAATGAAATGTTAAATTCTAGTAAAATTTGTTGAACTTGGTTTATTCCCCTTTGCCTGCTGGCTCTCTTATTGAACAGCGTAACACACATACAAGTGGTGCTTTGTCTTGCTGTGCTATGGTGTTACCTCACTATTTATTATTTGCTTTTAAGCAAAATTCTGTAAATACTGCTACTTCAGGTATAAGAATTCTGCAGTCATTTTTAGTGACATGGTAAAATATAAATGGGTCTTATGTAAAAGCTAGAAATAGAATCCAACTAGAAAATACCTTATTTCTTTTACTGTTCTTTGTAGTTACTTTATTTATCCATGGATTGTTCCCTTGCTGGCAGCTTGATAGTGAAACTTGAGGCTGAATGGGATGTAGAACCTGAGAGTTCAGTTGAGGACTCCAAGCTGAATTCACTCTTTGCCTTAGTATAGCCATGTAGAA